ATGGAGCCCGTACCTTGTCAAGCACAAGACGAAGCTGGAAAAAGTCCAAAGGTATGCCACTAGACTAGTCCCAGAACTAAGAGGCATGAGTTACGAGGAAAGGCTGCGGGAAATGCACCTTACGACACTGGAAGACAGAAGAGTAAGGGGAGACATGATCACAACCTACAAAATCCTCAGAGGAATCGACCGGGTAAACAAGGATAAATTATTCAACACTGGTGGGACGCGAACAAGGGGACACAGGTGGAAACTGAGTACTCACATGAGCCACAGAGACGTTAGAAGGAACTTTTTTAGTGTCAGAGTAGTTAACGGATGGAATGCATTAGGCAGTGATGTGGTGGAGGCTGACTCCATACACAGTTTTAAATGTAGATATGATAGAGCCCAGTAGGCTCAGGAATCTGTACACCAGTTGATTGACAGTTGAGAGGCGGGACCAAAGAGCCAAAGCTCAACCCCCGCAAGCACAAATAGGTGAGTACAAATAGGTGAGTACACACACACACGCCAATCCTGTTACTGCCACAATAGGGCCACTTACTGCGACCGTGAACTCCAGAGGGGGGCGGGGGGGGGGGCACCTGCTGACTCCCACCACCTCATGCAAATTCAGCAGGAGCTCTCACGTGCTCAGTGACGCTCTCAAGTGCTCAGTGGAGCTCTAGAGTGCTCCGTTGAGCTCTCAAGTGCTCAGTGGAGCTCTCAAGTGCTCCCTTGAGCTCTCAAGTGCTTAGTGGCGCTCTCAAGTGCTCCGTTGAGCTCTCAAGTGCTCAGTGGAGCTCTCAAGTGCTCATTAAAGCTCTAAAGTGCACAGTTGAGCTCTCAAGACGTAATCAGAGCTCGCATTAGCCCTGCTGAACCTCAGTAAGCGTTAACTGGAACCATGGGAGATGTTCACCCCTGTGTTCACGTATGTTCAGTCGGTGTTCACACACTCCTGACACCGTACACAAAGTTTCATCAAGGGTGTTACAGTGAGGAATGTTCACATTTTCTCAGCAAAGGGCTCAGTTTGAGCCCATGTGCTCTATTGATCTCTACTAAATATGTTCATGTGTTCATGTGATATATGTCATGTGTGGAGAGGATGGGAAGATGTGAACATCCCCACAAGGTGCAATCCCAACCACTTGGGCTGGACGGTAGAGCGACTGTCTCCCATCAAGCAGGTCGGCGTTCAATCCCCGACCATCCTTAAGTAATTGGGCACCATTCCTTTCCCCCCGTCCCATCCCAAAGCCTTATCCTGACCCTTTCCCAGTGCTATATACTCGTAATGACTTGGCGCTTTCTCTTGATAATTAGCATACCTTCGGTTCAAATAACTACTCTGTCTGCCTGTCTATTCTTTTCGTGTATGTCTCCCCTTCTTATCTCTTTCCCAGTTTATCTTCCTCATTCCTCTCTCCCTCATTCCTCTCTCCCTCTCCCTCATTCCTCACGCCCTCATTCCTCTCTCCCTCGCTGCCTGCCTCCCTCACACTCTCGTCTGCTCATCTCACTCCTGTAATTAAACACGAATGGAAATGTGTCCTCGACTCTCCGAACTGGCGGAAGGTCTTTGAAGACCTATTTTTTGCAATCTATTCTTTCCCCCGTCGCCATCAGCTTGGCGTTCCGGCGCCATTATCACCCGGCATCGGCGCCATGTAAGGGGCTTCGTTGCTCCCTCATTATGGTCGTCTTGTTCTTTTCCAGTCTTCCCTGTAGCGGGGCAGACCTGAATGACGAGCCATCAGCAGACGGGAGACGTGGGGACATTATTCACAGTCACAATGGACTACAGGGGTCCGACAGGGCCGTATTGGCTCGCTGTTTTGTGTAGTTGGTGGTGCGTCGTCTTCCGTTTTCTGTTTGCCAGCTGCGTGATTTGATGGCGGCTGGGCGGATTTTTTTTTTTTAATTTTCAGTGGAATGGTAAGTTTATTTGGCAGTTTGACCCGCCCTGTGAGTGAACGTGTAGCCGTTGTGACAGTATTGGGCAGCGCCACTCATCCTGTGAGTGGACACACCGCCATAGTGACAGTATTGGGCAGCGCCACTCATCCTGTGAGTGGACACACCGCCATAGTGACAGTATTGGGCAGCGTCACTCATCCTGTGAGTGGACACAACGCCATAGTGACAGTATTGGGCAGTGTCACTCATCCTGTGAGTGGACACACCACCATAGTGACAGTATTGGGCAGCGCCACTCATCCTGTGAGTGGACACACCGCCATAGTGACAGTATTGGGCAGCGTCACTCATCCTGTGAGTGGACACAACGCCATAGTGACAGTATTGGGCAGCGTCACTCATCCTGTGAGTGGACACACCGCCATAGTGACAGTATTGGGCAGCGCCACTCATCCTGTGAGTGGACACACCGCCATAGTGACAGTATTGGGCAGTGTCACTCATCCTGTGAGTGGACACACCGCCATAGTGACAGTATTGGGCAGCGTCACTCATCCTGTGAGTGGACACACCGCCATAGTGACAGTATTGGGCAGCGCCACTCATCCTGTGAGTGGACACACCGCCATAGTGACAGTATTGGGCAGCGCCACTCATCCTGTGAGTGGACACACCGCCATAGTGACAGTATTGGGCAGCGTCACTCATCCTGTGAGTGGACACACCGCCATAGTGACAGTATTGGGCAGCGTCACTCGTCCTGTGAGTGGACACACCGCCATAGTGACAGTATTGGGCAGCGTCACTCATCCTGTGAGTGGACACACCACCATAGTGACAGTATTGGGCAGCGTCACTCGTCCTGTGAGTGGACACACCACCATAGTGACAGTATTGGGCAGCGCCACTCATCCTGTGAGTGGACACAATGCCATAGTGACAGTATTGGGCAGCGTCACTCATCCTGTGAGTGGACACACCGCCATAGTGACAGTATTGGCCAGCACCACTCATCCTGTGAGTGGACACACCGCCATAGTGACAGTATTGGGCAGCGTCACTCATCCTGTGAGTGGACACACCGCTATAGTGACAGTATTGGGCAGCACCACTCATCCTGTGAGTGGACACACCGCCATAGTGACAGTATTGGGCAGCGTCACTCATCCTGTGAGTGGACACACCGCTATAGTGACAGTATTGGGCAGCACCACTCATCCTGTGAGTGGACACGCCGCCATAGTGACAATATTGGGCAGCGTCACTCATCCTGTGAGTGGACACACCGCCATAGTGACAGTATTGGGCAGCGTCACTCATCCTGTGAGTGGACACACCGCCATAGTGACAGTATTGGGCAGCGTCACTCATCCTGTGAGTGGACTCACCGCCATAGTGGCAGTATTGGGCAGCACCACTCATCCTGTGAGTGGACACACCGCCATAGTGACAGTATTGGGCAGCGCCACTCATCCTGTGAGTGGACACACCACCATAGTGACAGTATTGGGCAGCGTCACTCATCCTGTGAGTGGACACACCGCCATAGTGACAGTATTGGGCAGCGTCACTCGTCCTGTGAGTGGACACACCACCATAGTGACAGTATTGGGCAGCGCCACTCATCCTGTGAGTGGACACACCGCCATAGTGACAGTATTCGGCAGCGCCACTCATCCTGTGAGTGGACACACCGCCATAGTGACAGTATTGGGCAGCGCCACTCATCCTGTGAGCGGACACACCGCCATAGTGACAGTATTGGGCAGCGCCACTCATCTTGTGAGTGGACACACCACCATAGTGACAGTATTGGGCAGCGCCACTCATCCTGTGAGTGGACACACCGCCATAGTGACAATATTGGGCAGCGCCACTCATCTTGTGAGTGGACACACCGCCATAGTGACAGTATTGGGCAGCGTCACTCGTCCTGTGAGTGGACACACCGCCATAGTGACAGTATTGGGCAGCGCCACTCATCCTGTGAGTGGACACACCACCATAGTGACAGTATTGGGCAGCGTCACTCATCCTGTGAGTAGACACACCGCCATAGTGACAGTATTGGGCAGCGTCACTCATCCTGTGAGTGGACACACCGCCATAGTGACAGTATTGGGCAGCGTCACTCATCCTGTGAGTGAACACACCGCCATAGTGACAGTATTGGGCAGCGTCACTCATCCTGTGAGTGAACACACCGCCATAGTGACAGTATTGGGCAGCGTCACTCATCCTGTGAGTGGACACACCACCATAGTGACAGTATTGGGCAGCGCCACTCATCCTGAGTGGACACACCACCATAGTGACAGTATTGGGCAGCGCCACTCATCCTGTGAGTGGACACACCACCATAGTGACAGTATTGGGCAGCGCCACTCATCCTGTGAGTGGACACACCACCATAGTGACAGTATTGGGCAGCGCCACTCATCCTGTGAGTGGACACACCGCCATAGTGACAGTATTGGGCAGCGTCACTCATCCTGTGAGTGGACACACCGCCATAGTGACAGTATTGGGCAGCGCCACTCATCCTGTGAGTGGACACACCACCATAGTGACAGTATTGGGCAGCGCCACTCATCCTGTGAGTGGATACACCACCATAGTGACAGTATTGGGCAGCGCCACTCATCCTGTGAGTGGACACACCACCATAGTGACAGTATTGGGCAGCGCCACTCATCCTGTGAGTGGACACACCACCATAGTGACAGTATTGGGCAGCGCCACTCATCCTGTGAGTGGACACACCGCCATAGTGACAGTATTGGGCAGCGTCACTCATCCTGTGAGTGGACACACCGCCATAGTGACAGTATTGGGCAGCGTCACTCATCCTGTGAGTGGACACACCGCCATAGCAGAAGAGAGACAGAGGTTGTTCATCCTAACACCTGCACCCAGACGCAGTTGTTATTCAGTGGAGAGAACAGGAACTCTCTGACCTGCGGCGCCTGGGGCATCAAACACCTGTTTAACACGTGTACTGAACATCAGAACACGAGATTAAACACGTGCTGACTTAACAGGTAAGGTTAGGTATTTGACAGGTTGACGTCTAGAGGGAACCCGATGGTCTCTAGAGGAGCCAAGTGGTAAATCTAGAAGAGCCAAGTGGTAATCTAGAAGAGCCAAGTGGTAATCTAGAAGAGCCAAGTGGTAATCTAGAAGAGCCTAGTGGTAATCTAGCAGAGCCAAGTGGTAATCTAGAAGAGCCAAGTGGTAATCTAGAAGAGCCAAGTGGTAATCTAGAAGAGCCAAGTGGTAATCTAGAAGAGCCAAGTGGTAATCTAGCAGAGCCAAGTTGTAATCTAGAAGAGCCAAGTGGTAATCTAGAAGAGCCGAGTGGTAATCTAGAAGAGCCAAGTGGTAATCTAGAAGAGCCAAGTGGTAATCTAGAAGAGCCAAGTGGTAATCTAGCAGAGCCAAGTGGTAATCTAGAAGAGCCAAGTGGTAATCTAGATGAGCCAAGTGGTAAATCTAGAAGAGCCAAGTGGTAAATCTAGAAGAGCCAAGTGGTAAATCTAGAAGAGCCAAGTGGTAAATCTAGAAGAGATAAGTGGTAATCTAGAAGAGCCAAGTGGTAATCTAGAGGACCTAAGTGGTAATCTAGAAGAGCCAAATGGTAATCTAGAGGACCTAAGTGGTAATCTAGAAGAGCTAAGTGGTAATCTAGAGGACCTAAGTGATAATCTATAAGAGGCAAATGATTCCAAGGGTAATCACATCTTTAAGATGCTGCTAGAGCAGATGAAGTTGAGAGTAAGATAGAGAGATGAATGAGTCTGTTAATCTCTGTTTATTTTAAACAGAGATAAACAGAGGATTTTTTATTTTCACCTGTGATAACTAATACAGTTTCAGAGGGTGAGCAATCAGCTTAGATCCGGAGATAGCAGCTTCTTGAGGGAGAAAGCAGCTTGAGGGTATAAATAGCATTTTGTGGTCAGAGAAAGCAGGTGCTCCTGTTGTTGAGTTGCCTACAGGTGGTAGCAAGGAATTAGTTTGATCCTGCCCGGAAATGCATTAGCCAACCAGCACCCCACTCTTCCTTCTCTCCCCTCTCATGCACTCTCTCCTCTCCCTCTCCCTCTTCCTCTCTCCCTGATAACTTAGTTTACTCTCTCTCATTCTCCCTCTTTAGGTCAACTCTCTCTCCTTTGTCTTCTCAGTTTACCTTCTCTCTGGTTTCTCACTCTCCCATCTTTCTCACCTCTCCCTCTGCTCTACATTACATTCTCCCGGTCGGTCGGGAGCCGGTCGGCCGAGCGGACAGCACGCTGGACTTGTGATCCTCTGGTCCTGGGTTCGATCCCAGGCGCCGACGAGAAACATTGGACAGAGTTTCTTTCACCCTATGCCCCTGTTACCTAGCAGTAAAATAGGTACCTGGGTGTTAGTCAGCTGTCACGGGCTGCTTCCTGGGGGTGGAGGCCTGGTCGAGGACCGGGCCGCGGGGACACTAAAGCCCCGAAATCATCTCAAGATAACCTCAAGAAGATAACCTCCTTGAGTTTACCTTGACACCTTGACTTAACCTTTTCACCTTGAGTATATCTTGACACTTTGAGTATACCGTTTCACCTTAAATATATCTTGACACTTTAAGTATACCTTGACACTTTGAGTATACCTTTTCGCCTTAAGTAGACCTTGACACTTTGAGTATACTTTTTCAGCTTGATTATAACCTTGACACTTTGAGTATACCTTTTCACCTTAAGTATACCTTGACACTTTAAGTATACCTTTTCACTCTGAGTATACCCTGACACCTTGAATAGACCTCTGGGAAATAGGGTCACCTTTAACATGTTAAAAGAGCCAATTTTCCTCTCAGATACCTTTATCCCTATGTAAGCCGGCGCAGACGTGATGCTTGTTAGAGATAATGGGGAACCAATTACAGGCTTGGCTCGTTATATGATAAGGCAATATACTCCCACGACGGAGACTACGATAAGGAACACACTGCTCCTTAAATTACTGTGGGAGGGTTTATGCAAATTAGATGAGAGGGGTTTCTTGGGTAGGGGTTGGTGGGGGGGGATGTATGGATCTTTCTCAGGGGGGTGGAGGGTAGTGGTGTTTCTCAGGTGTTGATGTATGTCTCATTGTATGTTGCACCTCTCAGGGGGATATTGTATTCCTCAAGGGTGAACTGTATTTCTTATGGGGTTCTTGTATTTGTGAAATAATGCTGTATTTGTCAAAAGAAGTTCTCAGGAGATGGTTTTTCTCCATGAATTCTATATTTATCATGGAGTATTGTTTTTCTCAGTGGATGATGTATTTTACATTGTATTATTCCTGGGAATAACTTTGTCATATTTTAGCTACATAATATTAATGGGGTCTTACAAGTGCAAGATGGAACTTAAGAAGGAGAAAATACCTTATAACAAACTCTTTCATACATATATGAATCCCTGTATCCAAATAGCTTATATGAAATATAAGTGTATGTATTATAATATAAGAAATGTATTTGGGTATAAGATTCCTAACAATTGTACTCCCAGACCTAATTTATAGCATGATTTGGCATTGTCAAAATGGTCCAGCTAAGATCTGATAATTGAATTAGGATCACCTTATATCATAGATTAATTTGTCAGGATTGAAAAGAGTATCATCCAAGTTTCATAGTTTCCATACATGAATGTGTACGGTGTATGGTGTATGGTGGTGTATGGTGGTGTATGGTGGTGTATGGAGTTTAGCACACAGTCGGAGAAGTCCGAGACTTGAATCGTGTGACCTCTGACCTCTGGTGACTGATATCATCACTGAGGCCATCAGCTAAATCATCACTCAACAACCCGAGCATCACATCTTCTACACCCAGCATCCGTGCCCAAGATGTAACAGCCTCCATCGTGGTCAATCCTCAAGGTCTTAAATCATTTTAAGTCCTCAAGGTCTTAAATCATTAAATCAGGTCTTAAGTCATTTATATTTGACGAAATAAATTCAGTTTCCGAGTACTGAGGAAGGTCTTGAAGTCTTATCTCAGCGTCAGTGGCATCACCAAGATGATCTTCAAGATCACTGGATGCTGCTACCTGATAGCTACTTAGAAAATGTCTTAATTTAAAGTGCAACAGAAGATGATATGGTTTGAGAGCTGGAGGGAACCTCTGACATGACTGTTGAGCAAGAGGGAACCTCTGACATGACTGTTGAGCAAGAGGGAGACTCTGACATGACTGTTAAACAGGAAGGCAGCAGACAACAACAGACAACAGTAAACAGACACTTATAAACACAAAGGTGTCGACTTCAACCTGTCGTAATACGTCTCAGTTATGACGTTGTCGACCACTGTGGTCAAATGTCCCAGCAGAGCAATGGTAAAGTTTAGTGTGGATAACAATTGTTGGCTTCCTCTAATCTCTAACCTGTAACCTCTAACCTCTAACCTCTAACCAGATGGAATGTCATAGTAGCAATAACCACCTCATTTGATGCTTCTCTAATCGTGAGAAGAGGCCCTCTCCCCCTCTCCCTCTCTCTCTCTCTCTCTCTCCTCTCTCTCTCTCTCTCTCTCTCTCTCTCTCTCTCTCTCTCTCTCTCTCTCTCTCTCTCTCTCTCTCTCTCTCTCTCTCTCTCTCTCTCTCTCTCTCTCTCTCTCTCTCTCTCTCTCTCTCTCTCTCTCTCTCTCTCTCTCTCTCTCTCTCTCTCTCCCTCTCTCTCTCTCTCTCTCCCCTAAGAATTATGCAAGCTATCTGATACGAATCATTAGCGAGGGCAATTTTCTCCACGATAAGATTCGCTAAGACGGAGTTATTCAGCGCCTGAGCGAGGTCTTGATCTTCCATATCCCCAGGAAGATATTGGGCGCGATAACTCACGCCTTGACAGCGGGAGGCCATTTATCATCTTAGATTGCTTCGTGTCGCGCATCTCTAAGAAAAAGATATCACCTGCTGCACGCTAAATCTGTTTCTGAGAAATGCCTGGGTCCTAAGCCTCTACCTGGCGCTGTGGACGTATTAATTTAGCCGTGAGTGAGTGTATGGGAGTCGTATGGTGCTTCCAAGATGGGTAGGGGCAGTTCCAAGATGGGTAGGGGTAGTTCCAAGATGGGTAGGGGTAGTTCCAAGATGGGTAGGGGTAGTTCCAAGGTGGGTAGGTTTTGTTCCAATATGGGTAGGTTTTGTTCCAATATGGGTAGGTTTTGTTCCAAGATGGGTAGGTTTAGTTCCAATATGGGTAGGTTCTGTTCCAATATGGGTAGGTTTTGTTCCAATATGGGTAGGTTTTGTTCCAAGATGGGTAGGATTAGTTCCAAGATGGGTAGGGGTAGTTCCAAGATGGGTAGGGGCAGTTCCAAGATGGGTAGGGGTAGTTCCAAGATGGGTAGGGGTAGTTCCAAGATGGGTAGGTTTAGTTCCAAGATGGGTAGGGGCAGTTCCAAGATGTGTAGGGGTAGTTCCAAGGTGGGTAGGGGTAGTTCCAAGATGGGTAGGGGTAGTTCCAAGATGGGTAGGGGTAGTTCCAAGATGGGTAGGTTTTGTTCCAAGATGGGTAGGTTTAGTTCCAAGATGGGTAGGTTTAGTTCCAAGATGGGTAGGGGTAGTTCCAAGATGGGTAGGGGTAGTTCCAAGATGGGTAGGTTTTGTTCCAAGATGGGTAGGGGTAGTTCCAAGATGGGTAGGTTTAGTTCCAAGATGGGTAGGTTTAGTTCCAAGATGGGTAGGTTTAGTTCCAAGATGGGTAGGTTTTGTTCCAAGATGGGCAGATTTAGTTCCATGATGGGTAGGCGCTCACAGCCTCCAGGTGACATCAGGGAGCAGATGACGTCAGGAGCCAGGTGACTTCAGGAGCCAGGTGACATCAGGAGCCAGGTGACGTCAGGAGCCAGGTGACGTCAGGAGCCAGGTGACGTCAGGAGGCAGGTGACGTCAGGAGGCAGGTGACGTCAGGAGGCAGGTGACGTCAGGAGGCAGGTGACGTCAGGAGGCAGGTGACGTCAGGAGCCAGGTGACATCAGGAACCAGGTGACGTCAGGAGCCAGGTGACATCAGGAACCAGGTGACGTCAGGAACCAGGTGACGTCAGGAGCCAGGTGACGTCAGGAGCCAGGTGACGTCAGGAACCAGATGACGTCAGGAACCAGATGACGTCAGGAACCAGATGACGTCAGGAGCCAGGTGACGTCAGGAGCCAGGTGACGTCAGGAAGCAGATGACGTCAGGAGCCAGGTGACATCAGGAGCCAGGTGACGTCAGGAAGCAGATGACGTCAGGAGCCAGGTGACATCAGGAGCCAGATGACGTCAGGAGCCAGGTGACGTCAAGAGCCAGATGACGTCAGGAACCAGATGACGTCAGGAACCAGATGACGTCAGGAGCCAGGTCACGTCAGGAGCCAGGTGACATCAGGAGCCAGGTGACATCAGGAGCCAGGTGACGTCAGGAGCCAGATGACGTCAGGAACCAGGTGACGTCAGGAACCAGGTGACGTCAGGAACCAGGTGACGTCAGGAGCCAGGTGACGTCAGGAACCAGGTGACGTCAGGAACCAGATGACGTCAGGAACCAGATGACGTCAGGAGCCAGGTGACGTCAGGAGCCAGGTGACGTCAGGAGCCAGGTGACGTCAGGAACCAGGTGACGTCAGAAGCCAGGTGACGTCAGGAATCAGGTGACGTCAGGAGCCAGGAGACGTCAGGAGCCAAGTGACATCATTGAGCAGATGACGTCAGGAGCCAGGTGACGTCAGGAGCCAGGTGACGTCAGGAGCCAGGTGACGTCAGGAACCAAGTGACGTCAGTAGCCAGGTGACGTCAGTAGCCAGGTGACGTCAGGAGCCAGGTGACGTCAGGAGCCAGGTGACGTCAGGAGCCAGGTGACGTCAGGAGCCAGGTGACGTCAGTAGCCAGGTGACGTCAGGAGCCAGGTGACGTCAGGAACCAAGTGACGTCAGTAGCCAGGTGACGTCAGTAGCCAGGTGACGTCAGGAGCCAGGTGACGTCAGTAGCCAGGTGACGTCAGGAGCCAGGTGACGTCAGGAACCAAGTGACGTCAGTAGCCAGGTGACGTCAGTAGCCAGGTGACGTCAGGAACCAAGTGACGTCAGGAACCAAGTGACGTCAGGAGCCAGGTGACGTCAGGAACCAAGTGACGTCAGTAGCCAGGTGACGTCAGGGACCAGCTCCGAACACCGACAAATTCCAATTACCTGGTTAATCTCTACTCATTATAATCGGAATTTTTTCTGCCATTGCTTTTATAATTTAAGAAAATACGTCCAAGATTTTAATTAAAATAATGATCAATTAAGATAACTCGTCCCACTGTGTGTTCACAGTGTAGGCCTATGTTGTCGTTGTTCAGTGTAGGCCTATATTGTCGTTGTTCAGTGTAGGCCTATATTGTCGTTGTTCAGGGTGTAGGTCTATATTGTCGTTGTTCAGTGTAGGCCTATGTTGTCGTTGTTCAGTGTAGGCCTATATTGTCGTTGTTCAGTGTAGGCCTATGTTGTCGTTGTTCAGTGTAGACCTATATTGCCGTTGTTCAGTGCGTAGGCCTATATTGTCGTTGTTCAGGGTGTAGGTCTATATTGTCGTTGTTCAGTGTAGGCCTATATTGTCGTTGTTCAGTGTAGGCCTATATTGTCGTTGTTCAGTGTAGGCCTATATTGCCGTTGTTCAGTGCGTAGGCCTATATTGTCGTTGTTCAGGGTGTAGGCCTATATTGTCGTTGTTCAGTGTAGGCCTATATTGCCGTTGTTCAGTGCGTAGGCCTATATTGTCGTTGTTCAGGGTGTAGGCCTATATTGTCGTTGTTCAGTGTAGGCCTATATTGCCGTTGTTCAGGGTGTAGGCCTATATTGTCTTTGTTCAGGGTGTAGGTCTATATTGTCGTTGTTCACAGTGTAGGTCTATATTGTCGTTGTTCAGTGTAGGCCTATATTGTCGTTGTTCAGTGTAGCCTATATTGTCGTTGTTCACAGTGTAGGTCTATATTGTCGTTGTTCAGTGTAGGCCTATATTGTCGTTGTTCAGTGTAGGCCTATATTGTCGTTGTTCAGTGTAGCCTATATTGTCGTTGTTCAGTGTAGGTCTATATTGTCGTTGTTCACAGTGTAGGCCTATATTGTCGTTGTTCAGTGTAGGCCTATATTGTCGTTGTTCAGTGTAGGCCTATATTGTCGTTGTTCAGTGTAGGTCTATATTGTCGTTGTTCACAGTGTAGGCCTATATTGTCGTTGTTCAGTGTAGGCCTATATTGTCGTTGTTCAGTGTAGGCCTATATTGTCGTTGTTCAGTGTAGCCTATATTGTCGTTGTTCACAGTGTAGGTCTATATTGTCGTTGTTCAGTGTAGGCCTATATTGTCTTTGTTCAGTGTAGGCCTACATTGTCGTTGTTCACAGTGTAGGCCTATATTGTATTTGTTCAGTGTAGGCCTATATTGTCGTTGTTCATTGTGTTCATTGTCGTTAAAAATTCTGCTCCGTGTAATATTAAGTGAGGGTGTGAGCCAGAACACAGCACAGAGAACATGCACAGCCAGAACACAGCACAGAGAACATGGACAGCCAGAACACAGCACAGAGAACATGCACAGCCAGAACACAGCACAGAGAACATGCACAGCCAGAACACAGCACAGAGAACATGCACAGCCAGAACACAGCACAGAGAACATGCACAGCCAGAACACAGCACAGAGAACATGCACAGCCAGAACACAGCACAGAGAACATGCACAGCCAGAACACAGCACAGAGAACATGCACAGCCAGAACACAGCACAGAGAACATGCACAGCCAGAACACAGCACAGAGAACATGCACAGCCAGAACACAGCACAGAGAACATGCACAGCCAGAACACAGCACAGAGAACATGCACAGCCAGAACACAGCACAGAGAACATGCACAGCCAGAACACAGCACAGAGAACATGCACAGCCAGAACACAGCACAGAGAACATGCACAGCCAGAACACAGCACAGAGAACATGCACAGCCAGAACACAGCACCAGAACATGCACAGCCAGAACACAGCACAGAGAACATGCACAGCCAGAACACAGCACAGAGAACATGCACAGCCAGAACACAGCACCAGAACATGCACAGCCAGAACACAGCACAGAGAACAGGAACATGACAGAACAGTGTAAGGCACAAGAGGTACAGTGGTACCCTACACTTGGACACCCTTCACCTGGACACCCTACACCTGGACACCCTTCACCTGGACACCCTACACCTGGACACCCTACACCTGGACACCCTACACCTGGACACCCTACTCCTGGACACCCTACACTTGGACACCCTACACCTGGACACCCTACACTTGGACACCCTACACCTGGTCACCCTACACCTGGACACCCTACACCTGGACACCCTACACCTGGACACCCTACACCTGGACACCCTACACCTGGACACCCTACACCTGGACACCCTACACCTGGACACCCTACACCTGGACACCCTACACTTGGACACCCTACACCTGGACACCCTACACCTGGACACCCTACACCTGGACACCCTACACCTGGACACCCTACACCTGGACACCCTACACTTGGACACCCTACACCTGGACACCCTACACCTGGACACCCTACACCTGGACACCCTACACTTGGACACCCTACACCTGGACACCCTACACCTGGACACCCTACACCTGGACACCCTACACCTGGACACCCTACACCTGGACACCCTACACCTGGACACCCTACACCTGGACACCCTACACCTGGACACCCTACACCTGGACACCCTACACCTGGACACCCTACACCTGGACACCCTACACCTGGACACCCTACACCTGGACACCCTTCACCTGGACACCCTACACCTGGACACCCTTCACCTGGACACCCTACACCTGGACACCCTTCACCTGGACACCCTACACCTGGACACCCTACACCTGGACACCCTACACCTGGACACCCTACACCTGGACACCCTACACTTGGACACCCTACACCTGGACACCCTACACCTGGACACCCTACACCTGGACACCCTACACCTGGACACCCTACACTTGGACACCCTACACCTGGACACCCTACACCTGGACACCCTACACCTGGACACCCTACACCTGGACACCCTACACCTGGACACCCTACACCTGGACACCCTACACCTGGACACCCTACACCTGGACACCCTTCACCTGGACACCCTACACCTGGACACCCTTCACCTGGACACCCTTAACTTGGACACCCTACACCTGGACACCCTACACCTGGACACCCTACACCTGGACACCCTTCATCTGGACACCCTACACCTGGACACCCTACACCTGGACACCCTACACTTGGACACCCTACACCTGGACACCCTACACCTGGACACCCTTCATCTGGACACCCTACACCTGGACACCCTTCATCTGGACACCCTACACCTGGACACCCTTCACCTGAACACCCTACACTTGGACACCCTTCATCTGGACACCCTACACCTGGACACCCTTCACCTGAACACCCTACACCTGAACACCCTACACTTGGACACCCTACACCTGGACACCCTACACCTGGACACCCTACACTTGGACACCCTACACCTGGACACCCTACACCTGGACACCCTACACCTGGACACCCTACACCTGGACACCCTTCACCTGGACACCCTTCACTTGGACACCCTACACCTGGACATCCTACACCTGGACACCCTACACCTGGACACCCTACACCTGGACACGTTTCTAAATAGATGTTTCCTGTAGTATGTGTTATTGACAGTTATTCTTGTGTGAGCTTCGCGACTGGTTGGTTTGGTACTCACCCGAGCCCAATCGCTTCTTCCAGGTATCGTGTTGTGTATGTCAGTGGCTATCATGCTCCGCTTGTTATCTTGCTATTCACTATTTCCTCTCCTCCTTACACTAAGAGGAGAGGAAAGTCACTGAGCATCTTCACCCCAGAGATGCTCATAGTGAATAGATTGTTTGTTTACATTCGATCGTCATGTGTTTCCTGAATTCACCGGAGCGAGTGTTGATTTACGTCGTTTATATAATCTTTAGTTCACTTATTGTTTTCATGTTCATTGATTAGGAGTTAATTTTTGGCAAAAATTATATACAAAATTTAACGTGGTTCGTTGATAAATTTGTGTTTGTGTCGTGTTTGTGATTTTGTGTATTATGTTTGTGTGTGAGGTGTAGAAGGCCTTACGTATGGTGGTGTATGTGTCGTGTTAGTGGTGGTGTATGTGTCGTGTTAGTGGTGGTGTATGTGTCGTGTTAATGGTGGTGTATGTGTCGTGTTAATGGTGGTGTATGTGTCGTGTTTATGGTGGTGTATGTGTCGTGTTTATGGTGGTGTATGTGACGTGTTTATGGTGGTGTATGTGTCGTGTTTATGGTGGTGTATGTGACGTGTTAATACTGGTGTATGTGTCGTGTTAGTGGTGGTGTATGTGTCGTGTTTATAGTGGTGTATGTGTCGTGTTTATGGTGGTGTATGTGTCGTGTTTATGGTGGTGTATGTGTCGTGTTTATACTGGTGTATGTGTCGTGTTAATGGTGGTGTATGTGTCGTGTTTATGGTGGTGTATGTGTCGTGTTTATGGTGGTGTATGTGTCGTGTTTATGGTGGTGTATGTGTCGTGTTTATGGTGGTGTATGTGTCGTATTTATGGTGGTGTATGTGACGTGTTAATACTGGTGTATGTGACGTGTTTATAGTGGTGTATGTGTCTTGTTTATGGTGGTGTATGTGTCGTGTTAATGGTGGTGTATGTGTCGTGTTAGTGGTGGTGTATGTGTCGTGTTTATGGTGGTGTATGTGACGTGTTTATGGTGGTGTATGTGTCGTGTTTATGGTGGTGTATGTGTCGTGTTTATGGTGGTGTATGTGTCGTGTTTATTGTGGTGTATGTGTCGTGTTTATGGTGGTGTATGTGTCGTGTTTATGGTGGTGTATGTGACGTGTTTATGGTGGTGTATGTGTCGTGTTTATGGTGGTGTATGTGTCGTATTTATGGTGGTGTATGTGACGTGTTAATACTGGTGTATGTGACGTGTTTATAGTGGTGTATGTGTCTTGTTTATGGTGGTGTATGTGTCGTGTTAATGGTGGTGTATGTGTCGTGTTAGTGGTGGTGTATGTGTCGTGTTTATGGTGGTGTATGTGACGTGTTTATGGTGGTGTATGTGTCGTGTTTATGGTGGTGTATGTGTCGTGTTTATGGTGGTGTATGTGTCGTGTTAATGGTGGTGTATGTGTCGTGTTTATGGTGGTGTATGTGTCGTGTTTATGGTGGTGTATGTGTCGTGTTTATGGTGGTGTATGTGTCGTGTTTATGGTGGTGTATGTGTCGTGTTTATGGTGGTGTATATGTCGTGTTTATGGTGGTGTATGTGTCGTGTTTATGGTGGTGTATGTGTCGTGTTTATACTGGTGTATGTGTCGTGTTAATGGTGGTGTATGTGTCGTGTTTATGGTGGTGTATGTGTCGTGTTTATGGTGGTGTATGTGTCGTGTTAATGGTGGTGTATGTGTCGTGTTAATGGTGGTGTATGTGTCGTGTTAATGGTGGTGTATGTGTCGTGTTAATGGTGGTGTATGTGTCGTGTTAATGGTGGTGTATGTGTCGTGTTTATGGTGGTGTATGTGTCGTGTTTATGGTGGTGTATGTGTCGTGTTTATGGTGGTGTATGTGTCGTGTTTATGGTGGTGTATGTGTCGTGTTTATGGTGGTGTATGTGTCGTGTTAATGGTGGTGTATGTGTCGTGTTTATGGTGGTGTATGTGTCGTGTTTATGGTGGTGTATGTGTCGTGTTTATGGTGGTGTATGTGTCGTGTTAATGGTGGTGTATGTGTCGTGTTAATGGTGGTGTATGTGTCGTGTTTATGGTGGTGTATGTGTCGTGTTTATGGTGGTGTATGTGTCATGTTAATGGTGGTGTATGTGTCGTGTTAATGGTGGTGTATGTGTCGTGTTAATGGTGGTGTATGTGTCGTGTTAATGGTGGTGTATGTGTCGTGTTTATGGTGGTGTATGTGTCGTGTTTATGGTGGTGTATGTGTCGTGTTTATGGTGGTGTATGTGTCGTGTTTATGGTGGTGTATGTGTCGTGTTAATGGTGGTGTATGTGTCGTGTTAATGGTGGTGTATGTGTCCTGTTTATGGTGGTGTATGTGTCGTGTTAATGGTGGTGTATGTGTCGTGTTAATGGTGGTGTATGTGTCGTGTTAGTGGTGGTGTATGTGTCGTGTTAATGGTGGTGTATGTGTCGTGTTAATGGTGGTGTATGTGTCGTGTTTATGGTGGTGTATGTGTCGTGTTTATGGTGGTGTATGTGTCGTGTTAATGGTGGTGTATGTGTCGTGTTTATGGTGGTGTATGTGTCGTGTTTATGGTGGTGTATGTGTCGTGTTTATGGTGGTGTATGTGTCGTGTTTATGGTGGTGTATGTGTCGTGTTTATGGTGGTGTATGTGTCGTGTTAATGGTGGTGTATGTGTCGTGTTAATGGTGGTGTATGTGTCCTGTTTATGGTGGTGTATGTGTCCTGTTTATGGTGGTGTATGTGTCGTGTTAATGGTGGTGTATGTGTCGTGTTAATGGTGGTGTATGTGTCGTGTTAGTGGTGGTGTATGTGTCGTGTTAATGGTGGTGTATGTGTCGTGTTAATGTTGGTGTATGTGTCGTGTTAATGTTGGTGTATGTATCGTGTTTATGGTGGTGTATGTGTCGTGTATGTTTCATTGTGCTGGCAATGTCCCCCCCTCCCCCCCTCCCCCCCCCCCTTCGTTTCAGCTCGTCTAGTGGAGGGAGACTTAAGGCCTTAAGTCTTGCTAAGTCTGGGTCACTTACCTCTGGACACTCTCCAAGTTAATTTATTTTTATTAAACGAGGATCAATTACAATCTGTTGCGCATTTTGCAGACTCGTTCTGACATGTGTAGAGTGTTCAGAGTCCTGAACGACTCTTTGTTCGCATTCCTAAAGCGTTGCAGATGCCGATGATGATGTTCGTTTTAAGTGGGGCATCTATGGATAAGTTTATTGCAACATTAAAATTATTATGTTATCTGATTCCAGGAAGATTTGTTCTATCGTATATTTCTTTGTGTCTGGTTCACCTGTTCTCAACAC